AAAAAAAAAAAAAAAAAAAAATCGAGTCTTCAAAAAAATATGAACGCTTCACAAATTTGCACGTCATCCTTGAGCAGGGGCCATGCTAATCTTCTTTCTATTGCTCCACTTTTAGTATATGTGCTCCCGAAGCGAGCACTATATTCTATTATTTAAAATGCCGTTCCACAAAGGTACATGCTCTCACCTAAGCTATGGTTTCTGGAGCAAAGAGAAAGGATGACCCAGGTTCATTAAGAAAGCCATGCTAAAGAGAACTACAATTATTTAAAACCATGAGTAAGTGAAATTTAGAAATTTTTGAGGAAAGAAAATTTCTAAACATCAAAATAGCCTGAGTTTCTAATAAGACAGTTCTTGAATGCTGAACTTCCTCCTCCCTCTGTTCATACAGTGAGGATATTCAGAAACTCATATTTAAAAAACATAATTCAGGCTTGGTGCTGGTAGCACAGTGGTTATGGCGCCAGCCACATACACTGAGACTGGCAGGTTCAAATCCAGCCTAGGCCAGCTGAATAATAATGACAACTACAACAAAAAATTGCTGGGTGTAATGGTGGGCAGCTGGTTCTAGCTGCTTAGGAGGCTGAGCTTAAGCCCTGGAGTTGGAGGTTGCTGTGAGCTGTGGTGCCACAGCACTCTACCGAGAGTGACAAAGTGAGACTCCGTAACAAAACAAACAAACAAATAAATAAAAAACATAATTCATAGAGAACTGTAGTAGTTATTAAGGGAAAGGCCTCTTGTGTACCTTTTGAAGACACACAAAGCTAGAAGAAGACATTTTAAGCAAAGCTGCTTAAATACAATACCAGTACTGTTTCATGGGTCAATTCTTTAGCCATGCCATTGTACAGAAGCTTATACAGCCATAGCCATTATGGCTTAAAGTTGCATAAAATCATCATCACTGAATTAACTGGCCAGACATGGGAGTTCATGCTTGTAATCATCACACTTTAGGAGGACAGGTGGGAGAATTGCTTGAGGCCAGGAGTTCAAGACCAGCCTCAGCAACACAGTGAAACTCCATCTCTACAAAAAACTAGAAAAGTTAGCTGTGTATGGTAGTGCATGCCTGCTAGTCAGGAGGCTAAGGCTGGAGGACTGCTTGAATTCTGGAGTTTGAGGTTGCAGTGAGCTGTGATAATACCACTGTACTCTAGCTCAGGCAACCGAATGAGACCCTGTCCCCAAACAACTAAACAAAACCTAAAACTCTCTACAAAACTCTGTAGTTTCTAATTTTACAGTAAGTCCATCTATTAAAAAAAAAAATTTTTTTTTTTTTTGCAGTTTTTGGCCGGGGCCAGGTTTGAACCCACCACCTCCGGTATATGGGGCCAGCACCCTACTCCTCGGGGCCAGCACCCTACTCCTCTGAGCCACAGGTGTCTCCTTATCTATAAAAAACTCTTAAAAATATGTTCAGCAGCTAGAAAATATATTTGATATTTAAATTACTTTTCCAGAGATCTTTATTTAAAAACTTTATCATTTAATAGAGAGTATTTTGAGACATTAATAGATTATATAAAAACTTTAGAAACAAACAAACAAAAAAAAACCTAGAAAAATCTGTTTTCCCCACAGTCCACAGAGGGAAATCCCCAAGAGCCGCTGAGCCACTTAACCCCTGTGGGTCCCCATTTCCGGAGAATATGATTGCTGGAATGAAGCAAACAAATTTGAAACAAGCTGCATGACCTCATGGAGTTATTCACCTCTGTGCTGGAGTTTCCTAATTCATAGAATAGAGAAAGTAACAGTTTCATACAGCAGTTGAAACTGCTGTTTATCTTCCATGTTAAACAGAAACTGTCAGGCATTAAGCACATGGTTAGCTGCTATTATGATCGCTCTTCCACTTGCCTTCGCTCTTTCACTTGCCTTCGTGTCTAGTGAGGAAGGGCCTTATGACCATGTAAGTATCACAAACTGATGGATCAAATTCAACGCAGGGCAAAATTCCCCAGAGCTATTTGAAACCCAGGAATGGGGAGAGTGATATCAAGAAGTATTTGTAGTAAGCCAGAAAATGTATGAAGGTGCCTTCCATTTCAAACACTTTGTGATTCTTGTTTATGTAAAACTAACTGGCATATATACATTCTGCAGTGTAGTATACCAAAACACATTGCTCATGTTTCTCTGGAAACACCCTATCATATTATTCTATCACCATAAATTTAGTACACTGATTTTTTTTTTTGGACTGTCTTAACAATTCATTTCTAATAAAGAAGAAAATTTCTTCAAAGAAACACATGGATGTTAGAAGGTGCCTTCCGCCCATTCCTCTTGCCTCTGTCAGTAATGAAATCTAATCACTCAGGAAGAACTGGGGCAGAGATTGAATATAAACAAAAAATGCAACAAACCCAATATCTCAGGGCTTTGATGACATCAAGTTTACACATTGGACACGTTCGGTGATCCAAAAGCCATGGGTCAATGCATATTCTATGAAAAATATGCCTAAAAAAATTAAGTATGTGTTAATGTTTTAAAATAAATGTTTTATATAACTTATAAAGGAAATAAGACATTGTACCAACTCACTCTTGCATTACAATTAGCGGACGTCAAATCAACATTCTAGTCTACTCATCTATCCTAAGTCATTACATATTTTATCTTCCATGTTAAACAGAATCTGGCACTTCTACGGAAATTTCCTCTTGACTACACAAAAACAGTATGGTGTATTTCCACCTCAAGGTAGGTTGTACATTTTTATGTTACTTTATAAGTTATTTAAAAGCCCTGGGGAATAAATGTGGCATAAACTAATAGTAGTAAATAAACTATTACTAAACTGATAGTATTTTCTTTCAAATGACTATATAAAGTATAAAACTATATACTTACACTGTATTATATGGATAGTATTTTAAACAAGGTGACTCATGTAAAATGACTCAAAAATGCAACAAAGTATTACCAAATTACCTTTGGTAATGTAAAAACTTATTTTTTCTCTTAAACATTTTTGTACACACTACATTTTTCTACAGTGAGCACCTATCAATTTCAGAATAAAAAAATGAAAAAACAAGATCTATATTTTCTTCTTTCACTGACTTGCTTGAGTTGACTAAATTTTCCTCCCACGTGATGAATCTGCTTTCTCTACATGACGAAGAAAAGGAGTTAAGAGCCAGACAGATGGGACTAAAACTCCAGCTGCAACTCTCAACTAGGTTCTGACCCTCTATGCCAGGGGTCCTCAAACTTTTTAAACAGGGGGCCAGTTCACTGTCCCTCAGACTGCTAGAGGGCAGACTGCGGGCCCCGGGATGAGTTGGCTGCTCAAGTAGGACAGGCAGCAGCAGCAAAAACAACCTGTGGGCCGGATAAATGTCCTAGGCTGGCTGCATGTGATCCCCGGACCGTAGTTTGAGGACGCCTGCTCTATACACCCACACCTCTGGCTGCTCTGAGTGGCATGGGCAACACACATAAAACTGTGCCAGGCACGGACATAATTGCTCATGTATGGAGACCTTTTCTTCAAACAGAAATCTGTTAGTAGACTTGAAAATCATAGTACTTAAGATATAATTTTTTTTTTTTACAAGAACACAAAAGAAACATGATGGCTTTATTGGAAAATTTGCTACATAAAGCAAAAAAGAAAACTGGGGGGGTAGCCAAACTTCCAATAAGGAGAGAAAACGTGCCTTTGCAGCATGTCTGTGGGGAGGGGCGTGCACAGCCTCGGTGCAGTCCCAGCACAGTCCTGCTGTGCATCTGTGCAGTGCCCTCAGCATCGCTGCCATGTCAGGAAGACTTGTCCAAATTAGTACAGAGTAAAAATTCTTTTCTAGTTTAATAATTTTCTACAGAACACCACCAACCTATACTGACCCCAATTCATGAAGAGCCCACTGCACCAACCCCATATCTGCAGATTTAACCTAGCTACACTCATTCAGGAAACTTTTATCTGGAATTTAATCTACTGTAAATTATTTGTGTATACAGGCAGTCCTGGGTTACAAACCAGATAGGTTCTGCAGGTTTATTCTTCAGTTGAATTTGTATGTCAGGTGGAATGGGTACATTTACATATTACCTATAATAGTCTCTGCTCGTAAGCTCGAGATGGGTATCAGTCAGATGTCTGTAACTCGGGACTTATGGTCCTCCATTCATAAGCGGAAGTTGTAAGTCAGTCAGAGGTTTATAATTTGGGGACTGCCGTACACTATTAAAGTACTTTGCAAACAAAGCAAATATTATATATTAACTTCTGACTGGCCTCTAATAGGTGTGAAGTATAATTAAAATTGATCAAACTTAAACATAACTTCTGTACAGAAAATAAATCCTGTTAACACAGCAATTCTTTCAAAAGATTATTGAAATATGCCATTATTAAAAAAAAATTACAACTTCCTGTTGCTAAACCAATGCCCCTAGTGTAACCAAAGTGAAGGGAAGAATACAGAGTTTACACAACCCCAGAAAGACCCCCTAATAATTAAGAGCACAAACCACTGCCCTCATCGACCTTTCCTTCTGGATATTTCAAGCCCTTCCCCTAGGTGCTCGGACCTCTTTGCACTTAACACTGCTTATTTTTTGCTTTGCTAAATGTATAATGAATTTCCTACGGTTCTTTTTTTCCTTTGTCTTTCTCTATACTTTATAAGATTTTAACGAAGCCTTGTTTATAAGACTAAAAACTGATCTATGAAAAAGATATTTAATGAGTCTTAATAGTCACTTCTGAGTTCCCTAAACCGAGCAATTTTAAAGAGTCTTAAAGACAATATTAAAGTCCAAACTTTTCTAAAAAATAAGATGATCACAAAATAGCAAGATCTTCATATCATAAAAAGCAGGCAACTCTTTTATCAGAAACCTAGGACTTGTCAAGTAAGTTTTAACGTCTCAGTAGATAAAAAGAACATACTTGCATGGCAGAATTCTGATAATATCCTTTACTTTAAAACTTTCAATACACACTGCACAATTTTCAGCATCAACGTCAATTCCCTGTAAAAAGAAAAGGAAAGAATTTAAGATATTGTTGATATATAATATATACTTTGTAAACACTCTATACTGCCTAAACAGTAATAAATTCTATTCTACTTTGGCACAACCTGAATGAAACTAAAACTAAAAGAAATAATTGTACTTGGTATTTACTTTTTATCACTATTAACAAGTTATCTAAAGAAATTGGCTGAAAAGAAAAAAAAATCAGTGTCTAATCAGACAAGAACAGTGTTTATAATTTAGTAAGCCAGTTCATGGTTTTTCAAAAATAACATATTCACATTTTAAGGGCTATTGAAATGCTGATGTCTGCTGTATTATAATTACTTTTCAAACATAAAACTCACAATATAAAAAGGACGAATATATAATAAGCTACTTGTTTTCTAGAATCATTAAAAAATCTCCAAATTTATATCTGCTAAAGAACAGAGTTACAACATGCAAACAAGAAAACACAAATGATTAAACATTTAAAAATATTCACCTCATTGTGTCTTGGCCTTTTGGCTAAGATTAAGTGTAAAGATATTCACCTTACTAGTGATAAAAGAATTACAAAAGAGTAAGTTACCATTTTTCACCTAACACATTAACAAAGATACAAAGCAGGGCGGAAGCAGTCTTGTGACAAAATTTCCACTTGTAAGAACTACGGGTTATAGACCTTTCCAGTGGTACGTGCCCACCTAACTTCTTCAGTAACCTCTGATCTACCCACCTGGTCCTATCCCATCAACCAAAGCAGCTAGGGACAGAGTGGTTATCTGAGCCGAGACAGGCCAGTAAGATTCTCTTTCCTGGGATTCTGGGACAGGGATTCAGGACCTACGAATCAGTGCATGCATGTGGCTGCAAATTTAGCAAGTTCATTTTATGAAACACAGCTACATTGTCCTTATGTAACTGCCATATTTAAAAATATATTTAGCCATGTACACTACACAAAGATTATATTAAAATTAACTTTAACATTTATATGCTACATTGAAAATAAATACTATCACTTAATTTATCACTAATATGCAAGAACAATGAAATTATTTATTTATTTATTTTTGAGACAGAGTTTCGCTACGTCGCCCTCGGTATCGTGGCATCACAGCTCACAGAAACCTCAAACTCTTGGGCTTAAGCGATTCTCTTGCCTCAGCCTCCCAAGTAGCTGGGACTACAGGAGCCCAGCCTGGCTATTTTTTGGTTGTGGTTGTCATTGCTGTTTAGCTGGTCTGGGCTGGATTCAAACCCACCAATCTTGGTGTATATGGCTGGCGCCACAACCACTGTGCTAAAGGCACCGAGCCACAGTGAAATAATTTTTAAGCCTCTAACAACAGTTTGTAAGTTTATACATTACTTGCAATGAGTGCAGAAGAAAGCCACTAGAAAACAAACACACTAGTCTCCAGAAGTGGGTAAGATGTAGATCAAGGAAAACATTTTTTCCATACAAGTTTAAAATGTAAAATTGTCAGCAAATCTATGTTCCTCCATTTACCAAGGGGTTATGTCCCGAAAAATCCACTGCAATTTAAGTTTATGACCTCTATCTCTTACCATACACAAAAATCAACTCAAGATGGATTAAAGACTTGAATATAAGACCTGAAATCATAAAAATGCTAGAAGAAAATCTAGCTTCTGGACATTGGTCTAGGCAAAGAAGTCACAACTAAGATCTCTAAAACATAGGCAACAAAACCAAAAATAGACAAATAGGACCTAACGACAAAGTCTCTGCACAGCACAAGAAATTACCAACAGAGTGAACAGACAAGTAGAGGAATGGGAGAAAATGTCTGCAGGCTGTACATGTGACAGGGGACTAATACCCAGAATCCACCAGGAACTCAACAAAGAAGATAATAACCCCATTAAAAAAAGGGCTAAGGACACTTCTAAAAAAAAAAAAAAAAAAGACTAATGACCAACAAGCTATAAAAAAAGTTCATCATTAATCATCAGTGAAATGCAAATTAAAATCGTGGGATATCATCTTATACTAATAAGAATGGCTATAAAAAAAAAACATGTTGATGAGGATGTGAAGAAAAGGGAACTCATATGCCACTGGTAGACATATAAATTAGCGGTACCTCTATGGAAAATAGTATGAAGATTTTTTCAAAGAATTTAAAATAAAAAAAAAAATTAAAAACAGAGCTACCATAAGATCCAGCAGCTCTACTGCTGGGTATCTACCTAAAGAAAAGGAAATTAGTATATAAAAAAGATACCTGTACTTATGCTTATCACAGCACTATTCACAACAGCAAAGATACCAAGTGTCTATCAGTGGAGGACTGGATGAAGAAAATGTTCCACACACAATGGAACACACTTCCATGAAAAACACACTTCTCCATAAAAAAAAGAATGAAATCCTGTCTTTTGTAGCAACATGGATGGAACTGAGGCCATTATCTAAAGGGAAACAATTCAGACCTAGACAAACACATGTTCTCACTTATATGAGGAAGCTAAATAATATGTCCACACGGAAACAAAGTGTGGAATGATGGATGGTGGCAACTCAGAAAGGTGGAAGTGTGGAGATGGGGATGATGGGAGGTTACCTGGGGGGTATGGCATGTGTTGCTCCAGTGACAGACGCCCTGAAGGCCCTAACTGTACTACAATGTATATACCAAAGTGGCAAAACTGCACCGGTACCCTATGAATATATACACTTTTTTTTTTTTCAGACAGGGTCTTACTATGTCACCCTCAGTAGAGTGCTGTGGCATCACAGCTCACCATAACCTCCAACTCTTGGGCATAAGTGATTCTCTTGCCTCAGCCTCCCGAGTATCTGGGAATACAGGTACCCACCACAACACCCTGCTATTTTTTGGTTGCAGTGGTCATTGTTGCTTAGGAGGCCCAGGCTGGGTTTGAACCTACCACCCTTGGTGCATGTGCTTGGCACCATAACCACTGCTACAGGAGCCAAGCTGAATATATACAAATTTTTTTAAAAATGAAAAAGAAATGAAAAAAAAAAAAAAAGGGCAATTCTTGTGGCTCAGTGGATAGGGTGCTGGTCCCATATACCAAGAGTGGCAGGTTCAAACTCAGCTCCGGCCAGTTAAAACAGCAATGAGAATTGCAACAAAAAATAGCCGGGCATTGTGGCGGGTGCCTATAGTTCCAGCTACTTGGGAGGCTGAGACAAGACAATTGCTTAAGCCCAGGAGTTGGAGGTTGCTGTGAGCTGTGATGCCACAGGATCTGTCTCCAAAAAAAAAAAAAAAGAAGAAAAAACAAAACAAAACAAAAATTCCCTCCAAAACATTGTAAGCTGAAAATGCATTTAATACAGCTAACCTAATGAGCACAATTTAGTCTAGCTTACCTTAAACATGCTCAGAACATTTATAGTAGCTAGAATTGGGCAAAATAATCTAACAAAGCCTATTTTATAATATTGTACTGAAAGAGAAAAAAAGAATGAATATACTGGCACTTAGTTTCCACTGAATGTGTATCACTTTTGCACCATCACAAAGTCAAAAAATCTTAAGTCCAACCATTTAGGGATCCTTTTTTTTTTTTGAGACAGAGTCTCAAGTTGTCGCCCTGGGTAGAGTACTGTAGCATCACAGCTCACAGCCACCTCAAACTCTTGGACTTAAGCAATTCTCTTGCCTCACCCTCCCAAGTAGCTGGGACTACAGGTGCTCGCCACGATGCCTGAATATTTTTTGATTGTAGTTGTCACTGTTTGGCAGGCCAGGGCTGGATTTGAACCCACCAGCCTTGGTGTATGCGGCCAATGCCCTAGCCTCTTGAACTACAAGCACCCAGCCAAGATCCTCTTTTTTTAACCACTACTCTGACAACTTAGAAAAAACAGTCCCTGGAGACATATTTTCAAAAATGTTCTGAATAGGAAGAGGATAGTATTAATTTACTTATGTTGTCAAAGATTCAATTCAGTAAACTATACATCTGAGTCTACATCTTCTTCTCATATTTAAGAACTGAGATTTCCTGCTAAGGAGAGTTAGTAGAAGGCAAATTCCAAGAAAAACATAATACCACATGCTTCTCAAGTAACTGGCTAATGCTGACTGTGTGCAGTTTGTCACAGGCATTACCTGGAAACTCTTTCCCCAAGGATGCTCAGTGATTTGTAAATCAGACACTAATCCTAAATTGTTAGATGTGTTAATTTCATTCTTTTCTTTACTTTTTCTGTTCAACACATTTGCATGGAAAGAAACCAATAGCATGCATAAACTGTTAAAACTGAACTGTACTATAGTATAAAAGCTATCAGGGAACAAATGGTAGCTACTAATACAATTCCCAGAGTATCTTAATATTAAATATATCACATAAGCCATTAATACCAAATTCCAAGTTAAAAAAATCATATATCTATAATTTAATGTGCTGTTTTTCTTTTTAATCTTTAAGATCAGAAAAAGAGATTATACCATAAATGCAGTTAGTCTTTTTGTTTTTAAAGGGGGAGTGGAGACTGGAGGGTTGAACAGATCCTGGGCAACAGAGTGAGATAACATGAACATCAAGATAGCTGAACCAACCCAAAGCTCACAAGTCAACACATGTGCACATAAGACGGAGTATTAAAAGAATAAACACTACTGCATTAGCAACAGTTTTCCTTTCAAGGCATCTACCCTCTAAGAATCTGAGGTTCTAGACCAGGGGTCCTCAAACTTTTTAAACAGGGGGCCAGTTCACTGTCCCTCAGACCACTGAAGGGTCAGACTGCAGAGCCCCAGGACAAGTCGGTTGCTAAGCAGGACAGGCAGCAGTGGCAAAAACATCCAGCGGGCCGGATAAATGTCCTAGGCGGGCGGCATGTGGCCTGCGGGCTATAGTTTGAGGATGCCTGTTCTAGACTCAGGATTTATCCTATACGAAAAATGCTTTAAAATTCTGGTATGGCTCAGCGCCCGTAGCACAGTGGTTATGGCACCGGCCATATGCACCAAGGCTGGCGGTTCGAATCCAGCCTGGCACAGCAAAACAACGACAACTACAAAAAATAAATAAATAAATAAATAGCCAGGCATTGTGGCAGGCACCCGTAGTCCCAGCTACTTGGGAGCTGAGGCAAGAGAATCACTTGAGCCCAAGAGTTGCACGTTGCTATGAGCTATGACGCCATTGCACTCTACCGAGGGTGACATAGTGACGCTCTGTCTCAAAAAAAACCAACTAAATAAAATTCTGGTATGATTTTGAACGTTTAAGTCTCAGATTAGTCATGTCAAACGTTTCTTTCCTTCCTTTCTTTCCTTTCCATAACACCCAACTATTTTTAGAGACTGGGTTTTGCTCTGGCTCAGGCTGGTCTTGAATCTGTAAACTCAGGCAATCCACCCACCTCAGCCCCCCCCACCCCAAGTGCTAGAATTACAGGTGTGTGCCACCCCAACCAGCCTCAAAATTTTTCTTTTTTAAAAAGTAGTTTCAGGTTTGGCACCCACAGCACAGTGGTTATGGTGCCAGCCACATATATCGAGGCCGGCAAGTTTGAACCTAGCCCAAGCCTGTTAAACAACAATGACAACTGCAACAAAAAATAGCCGGTGTTATGGTGGGTGCTTGTAGTCCCAGTTACTTGGGAGGCTGAGGCAAGAGAATCACTTAAGCCCAAGAGTTCGAGGTTGCTGTGAGCTGTGATGCCAGAGCACTCTACTGAGGGTAACACAGTGACACTCTGTCTTAAAAAAAAAAAAAGGTAGTTTCGAAAACAGTATTTCTCCCCTTCTCCACAAATCCCAATATTTTCTCCTTGCATTTAATGGAATTGCAGAGAATGGACATGTAGTCTCAGATGGAACAGAAATGAATGTGAGTTATCAAGCGTCTAGGATGTGGACTTTACATTCTTTAGTTGCTTCACAGTTATCTGGGTCTAACCAACACAACTTCATTCACTGGTGGGAATGCTGGGATTGTCCAGTAAGGCAGCAACTAGCCAGCGTGACTACTGAGTGCCTGAAATGGCACTAGTTTCACTGCAAAATTCAATTTTCAAATTAAACTCATTTAAACGTAAAAATCTGCCACATGTGGCTAGTGGCTAATACAGGTCTGGAAGGCTCTTCTTGTATGGCAGAATACTTCTGCCAATACTGCTTTAAACACTGTCTAGTCTAAACCACGAAACCAAAATCATGAAAATATTACCTTTTCTCCATGCTTTACAGTATGAAGTGGAAGCTGGCCAATAATTTTCTTAGTTTCTTTCCTATGGTTCTTGGGAGGAAAATATTGTTACTGAGAAACATATATTAAATCACTATATTAAAAAAATTCATACACATAATATAGAAAAACTGTCATTTAAAAGGCAAAGTCTACATTGAAAATAAAAAGAGCCCCAAACAATAAAAAAACATTTAAATATTAACTACCCATATGTAAATTAAGAGCTGTGTAATCAAAAATACTTATTTTTGGCTTGGCGCCTGTAGCTCAGCAGTTACACACCAGCCACATACACTGGACCTGGTAGGTTTGAATCCGGCTCCAGCCTTCTAAACAACAACAACTACAACCAAAAAATAGCTGGGTGTTGTGGTGGGCGCCTTAGTCCCAGGTACTTGGGAGGCTGAGGCAAGAGAATCACTTAAGTCCAAGAGTTTGAGGTTGCTGTGAGCTGTGATGCCATAGCACTCTACCAAGGGTGACATAGTTAAGACTCTGTCTCAAAAACAAACAAAGAAAACTTCTTTTCTTTTTTTCTTCCTGAGACAGTCTTGCTCTGTCACTGGGGTTAGGGTAGGTACAGTGGCATGATCAGCTCATAACATTTCTCCTGCTTCACTTTCCCAAGTAGCTAAGATTACAAACACACGCTACTAGGCCAGGCTAATTTTATAATTTTTGTAGAAATGGGGTCTCACTATGTAGCCCAGGCTGTTCTTGAACACCTGGCCTCAGGGAGTAATCTTGCTTCTGCTTCTCAAAGTGCTGAGATTACAGATGTAAGCAATGCACCCAGTCAAAAATACTTATCTTCAATTCCTATGTAAAGAAAGAAGTCAATTCTTATGTTTCATTATTGGCAAGAAAGTAACAAACTGAAGATGGGGGGGGTGTCCTACATATTCATCCATTAAAGTTTCTAAAAGGAAAAGGCCCTTCTTGCCATCAAGTCAGGGGCATCAGTGTTTCATGATGACAGAAGGTAAGTGCGAGTTCAGAAGGTTTGCCTTGGGAAGCCTCGGGCTCCTGGACAGCCCTTCTCTTTGCTGTCAATGAGACAAATAAATGGCACAGGAAGCCCTTCCTTTAGGCCTAGTCAGAGAAACCAAGGTTACATGAGGCCAGGTCCGCTCTCTCGTACTTGTCTGTCATTCTTTTATGTCTGGAAAAAGACAAAGAGGGCACCCGCAGGAACCAAACCTGCAATAAGGGTTTCCACAGTTTTTTTTTTCTTTTTTTGTAGAGACAGAGTCTCACTTTGTCACCCTCAGTAGACTGCCGTGGCGTCACAGCTCACAGCAACCGCCAACTCCTGGGCTTAGGTGATTTGCTTGCCTTAGCCTCCCAAGTAACTGAGAGTACAGGCGCCCACCACAATGCCTGGCTATTTTTTTTGTTGCAGTTTGGCTGGGGCCAAGTTTGAACCTGACACCCTTGGTATATGGGGCCAGTGCCCTACCCACTGAGCCACAGGCGCCAACCAACACAGTTTTTTTTGTTTGTTTGTTTGTTTTTGAGACAGAGTCTCCCTTTGTTGGCTAGAGTGTTGTGGCATCATCGTAGCTCACAACAACCTCAAACTCCTGGGCTGGAGCAATTCTCCTGTCTCAGCCTCCCAAGTTGCTGTGACTACAGGCATGTGCCATTTTGTCTGGATAAATTTTTTTCTATTTTTTTGGTAGAGAGGGGGTTTCACTTGTGCTCAGGCTGTTCTCAAACTCCTGAGTTCAAGGGAACCTCCTGCCTCAGCTTCCCAGAGTTCTAGGATGATAGGCATGAGCCACCACATGGCCTGAAAATTTAACATACTCCAATTTAAAAGCTCTTTTTCAGGCTGCGTGTGGTAGCTCACGCTTGTAATCCTAGCACTCTGGGAGGCTGAGGAGGGAGGATCTCTTGGTTTCAGGAGTTTGAGATGGGTCTGAGCAAAAGTGAGAGCCCTGTCACTACTAAGAATAGAAAACTTAGCTGGGCCTATAGTTTCAGTTACTCTGGAGAATAAGGCAGGAAGATCACTTGAACTCAGGAGTTTGAGGTTGCTGTGAGCTATGATGACACCACAGCACTCAACCTAGGGTGACTGAGACTATATCTCAAAAAAAAAATTATTTTAAAAATTCATATGAATACTTAAATATCATGAGTGAAAATAAAATTCAAAATATGGTCAAATGTAACTTCAATCAATCCATGGAGGATATACTGAGGAACTATCTATTAAAAGGCAAAATTAAAAGAGCTATCCATAATTACCTGACTTCCAAACTGTGAGCCAGTATATAGGAAACGCTGTATATAGTAAAATATTAGCCAAGCTAATGAGATAATCATCATGGTGATGAAGGCAATGGCCACAAACACCACAGACTGACCGCTGATGAATTCTTGTACATGACGAGTGCCAATCCCAATGGTCATCTTCACTGGAATTCCGTTTTGCACCAGTTCCCAAATTTCTCTTCCTTTTGGGTAACTAACCATTATGACCACTATGTTTCCTGTTCCTGTAGGAAAGAAGAAATCAATTAAAGAACACAAAATAAGATGAAGCCCAACTCCTGGGCTCAAGCGAGTCTCTTGCCTCTGCCTCCCAAGTAGCTGGGACCACAGGCTCCTGCCATTAACGCCGGGCTATTTTTTTGGTTGCAGCCATCACTGTTGTTTGGCGGGCCCGGGCTGGATTCAGTCCTACCACCTTAGGTGTATGTGGCTGGCACCTTAGCCACTTGAGCCACAGGCACTGAGCCAACACCTAGCTATTTTTAGAGATGAGGTCTCACTCTGGCTCAGGCTGGTGTCAAACCTGAGAATTCAGACAGTCCACCCGCCTTGGCTTCCCAGAGTGCTAAGATTATAGGAATGAGCTACTGCACCCAGTGGCTAAGTGAACATTATTGATAATTTATGATTATTGCATTAATTTAGCTAGATTCATGTAAAATTGATTATTTTACCCTCTTTTTTCAGTGTCTCAATTTTTTTTTTCTTGTGTCTACTTAGGCCCTCAGAGCAATGTTAAATAATAGCATTCATAGTAGAAATTCTCATAGTGCCTCCCTGATTTTAATGAACATGCTTTAGAGAAGCTGGGCTGGGTGGCGCACGGCCAGCTCACGGCCAGCTCAGGTAGATCTCCTGAGCGCATGTGTTCGAAACCTTGTCTCTAAAAATAGCTGGGCATTGTGGTGGATGTAGTAGTCCCAGCTACTTGGGAGGCTGAGACAAGAGAATCACATAAGCCTAAGAGTTTGGCTCGGC